GCTTAAGTGAAAAGAGAAAGACCTGAAATTATATGTGTAGTATGATGGAAACTACCAAAAAAAAAAAAAAAAAAATGTGGCTAAAGAAGGGACTATGAAGAAACCATTAAGTGGCCTTAGGGCAGAGGTGATAATTACTAACAGTAACCAAAAAGCTGGGGATAGAGTGACAATCTAGGGATCACAAGCTGAACTAAGTATTCAATCCAAGAATGCTTGGGACACAGAACTGTGGGGATCTCCAGCCACAAAACAGATCCCTAATTCTAAACCTGCAGGAACTCACCATCCAAAGTGTTAAGGAAATGAAATATAGGCAAACCACGGATTTTTATCTCCCACAGCTCCTTTCTGTGAAATGATTCAATAAAAACAATTCACATATTAAACTGGCTAAACTCACCAGGGCAAGGACTACTCCCTTTCCATAAGGAGCACAATGAAGTTAAAGGTCTTCAAAGTATCACTCCTCACGCAAACTGCCGGCATGTAGACAGTAAAGCAACCTCCCCACCCCATCCATATAAGCCCATTCAAGGAAGGCAGCATATTGTAGTTTTGAACCAGTACAAGGTTACTGTAAAGAAACATGACAAACATTTAAGGACATTTACAGTTCAAAGCAGAGGCCAGGTGAAACTGTTGTTGTTGAGGCTAATGTTCGCTGATGGAACATTTCACATGGCCTGGCTACCTAGTTATATAATAAGCCTTGAAGCAGTGTGTCCACACGTCTACCTGTCTCCTTCAGTGCAGGCAGGTATGTGCAAAAACGGCATGGAGGCAGTGTGTGGCCTCCTTCGACCCCACAAAGGGAAAGGAGAACCAAGATTAACAGTGCAAGGCTGACTCTCATGAGGTGAAGACTAGACAAGCTTCCTCTCTCAGCCATCTTTACAAATTTTGACACCAACTGTCCCTCAAACAGCACTCTCTACTTCTCTTCTGGGTTCGATAATTCATTGCAATGACCACACAGAACTCACAGACCATACTCACAATTATGGGGTTTATTAGGGAAGTAACAGTTACAATTCAGGCTCAGGAACACTCAGGATACAGTTCTTCCATCAGGACAGCCTCTTCCCAACCATGCTCGCAGGCACGCCTCTCTCTGGCCCTAGGCCTCTCCCCAAAGGCACTCAGCTTTCTCTCACCATGGGCCAGGAAGCCTGCTGCGCCATCTCCTGCTGCTGGGTCTCTCCTGCCACTGCTTCTCACCATCTTCAGGGTTACAGCTCACGCTCTCTCTCCATCTCCTGCTTCCAGGAGCTTCTCAGCACAGGGATCCTGGGTCCAAAGGACGTGCTCTCCACTCCTGGCTATTCTTCCTCAGTGGTGGTAGGATCCTCCTCTCTGCTCTGGAATTGGTTCTCTTTAAAGGCAAAACTGACCAGTCCCCTTGGATTACCCTACCACACGGTCCTGCCCAATCTCATGGGTGGGAATTACAAGACCATGGCTAGAAAGGGCATACAAAAGTAATCCATTGCACTGTAATATGTGCATGCAAAGCTTTTCAGGAAGCAAAAACAATGAGCTGGCAGTTAGACTTTGAAGCTAACCCAAGCCAGGACATGCAGGACAGCAGCTGATTCCTACTAAATTGGCCGAGCTTTCAAAACTCAAGATAACAACAAGCTGTGAATTGGTACCATCCACCTAGATCAAAAATTTCAGTCTAGATCCACCCGGGACTGAAACTTGAACAAAGACACTAACATTTACTGAATGCCTACTTTATGTCAGGCAAAATTAAGCCGGTTTTATTTCACTTTCTCTGGTAAAGCTGTAACTTCTGAAGGCACTGGATGATCTATGCTGGTTAAGGTTTTTAAAAAACAGTTTAGGTCTCTGGGTGGTGCAAATAGCTAAGTGCTCAGCTGCTAATTAAAAGGCTGGAGGTTTGAGTTCACCCCAAGGTAACTTGGAAGAAAAGTCTGCCCATCTCCTTCTGGAAAACCAGCCTTTGAAAACCGTATGGAGCACAATTCTACTGTGACACACATGAAGTCACCTTGAGTAGAAATCGACTCAGTGGCAACTGTTTTTGTTTGTTTTATATACCTACAACTCTTGCCTAACACAATAGACCAAAAGCTCAAGGGTCAGCAGCAGAGAAAGAATATAGCTCATAAACACTACCTGAGATAAGACACTTACCAGTGGCCTGGATTTTTTTGGGGGGCCTATCCCTGAAAGTCCTAATGAGTGAGAGTGACTCTAGTTCTGTGGTAACAGACAGAAAGGGCCTAACTGAGGAATCTCACCCTCAGACTGCTGAAGCTGCCTTCTAGGGGCCCAAGGAGCTGTCTAGAGCAGACCAGGCAAGAGAGCATCTCCCTCCCCTCCATCTCTTTCCTTTAATGCCCTTCCACAGCCTGCCATCATATATGTAGCCTGTCAGAGCAGCTGCACAGCATGCAAAACCCTGTTTTGGGAGTAAATGGAAGGCATGATCTCAGCCCTAGAGAAACTTACAATCCAAGATGGAATGGAAGAAACACAAGTGTGTAGGACTGCCCTCGAATACAAGTAAAATTATAAACACACCAGAAATAGGCCCACTGGGATGTGCATAAACTCTAAGACAAACAACCACACAAACCGTGGCTGGAGCCAGTGGGGTAGTCTGGGCAAAGCCTCACCAACCAAGGGCTGTCAGGTAAGAACTGTAAGCCGCACCTTCCCCAAGCACCACCACCCCCAATGCCTGCTGCTTCCTGAATTTCTCCTTCACTACCTTTTCCTTCTGTGATTCTATACAGGATTCACATTCTTACACAGATGCTGGGATGGGTGTTTTATATTTGGTCAGAATCACTCTTGAAATCACTTACATTACACCAATAAATTACAGTATACATTGTTTTGTGTATTCAACTTTTAAAGTAATACATATGCTAATGTACAGTATATAACAAAGAGGGGCATGCTAGGTACAAAAAGTACGTATATCTCTAAACAACTAAACCGTACTGCAGCAAGGCCTCAGGGGCCCACCATGAGGGGCAGGGGAACTGAGACTACCTGTGGAAATGGCAGAGATGAGGCTTCTACTCACTGTGGGGAGATGCTCAGCCACGGGGATGACAAGCAAAATTGCCTGAACTATTTACATAGTTTCCTCTTTTTTTAATCTTTGCTGAGTATATATACCTAATCTCACTGCTGTTAAATGCCTTTGATGCAGATCTACTCCAACCTTATTGTCCTTAACTAACCATGCATCTACTCTCACTCTTGCCTGCATGCCTCTTCCCAACAACAGCCCTTAAGTCTTACTTATTATTTTCCCACTTCGTGTGTGTGTGTGTGTGTGTGTGTGTGTGTGTGTGTGTGTGAACAGAGTAATGGGTGGGGAACCACAGATAAGGGTAAGAGGAGAAGAATTAAGGCTGGGGAACCATAGACAAGGAGTTAAGATGAGAAAAATAAAAATATCAAGTCTTTTTAATGCCACTTCTCTACATCAATCCCTAAGAATTAGTAAATGGGGAGGAAGATGGGTTGGTTGACTCCACCATTTCTTTTTATAAAACTGTTTCATTGTTCAAGGATCCCCACATAAACTTTCTTCAAACAGGCAATGTGTTCGTAGCACCAACCTCAGCTCCTATCCTGGAATATGCAATATAAGAAGTCAGATTACTTACCTAGAGTAACATCTGTCAGAAATAGGATGTTGTTGGTTGAGCACCCAATGCTGTCTGCAATCTTTCGATAACTCTCACTCTCCACTTTGTGTCCAATCTTGGTATCAAAATGACCGTCAAAAAGCTGAACAAAGAGAGGGGACTGTGAAAACATTGATGAAGCAAATATACCTGCTAATCCTCACTCCTTTGTCTCTCATCCCTTTTCTCTGGAATATATGACAGTCATAGCAATTCTATTCATTCAATAAATATTTATTGAAAATCTACTTAACATAGAACTTTATGGAAGCTACAAAAAGTAAATACAAAGTACAGTTTTATAGCAATACCATTTGGAAGAAGAAACCACCAGCTCAACATGTATATTAAGATCATTTTATAATCTATTTGGTTTTCATCTGTATTGATTTTAGATTCAAAATTTTTTAAAATATCCACGTTCTACTTTCTATCCTTAACAAACACTATCTGCACTCAAACTATTTATTGAACTAGATTTCAGTGCTGGTGAAATGTTCTAAGCATTGTCCTTTTGATCCCAAAAAGAACAGATTTCCTCTAGCCTGCCTCAGTAATAAGCTATTACTTTACTTTCAAGGAACTTTATTTTCTAATAACCACATTTTTAAATTCTACCCAAGAGCCAGCATATGCCCTTGCCCTCTTAGAAATAATTGGGGTCAAATTGTATAACTTGCTAATTTAACCAACAATAATTAAGATAAGTCCACATTAGGGGGCGGTGAGTTTATGTTAATGGTACTGGAATAATTTGGAAAAGGATAGCAAGTGGCTGCACAACCTGAAGAATGTAATCAACGTCACTGAACTATACATGTAGGAATTGTTGAATTTTTGTATGTTTTGG